ACCCTTCGTGTAACTGCAAAGTCAATCAAGTCGGGTTGCTTGGGTGGATCTGTGGGCCAATATGTAGGCTTGCCCGGAGAGATAAAGTCTAGCTTGTTTCGTGGGGTTATTATAGCGTTATATAGTTGTCTTCCTTTCGGGTTGGTAAGTCTAGATCCCCAATGGGTGTGCTTGGCATTGTAGTCACCAGCTGCTATAAATCGGTCACCTAGTAGGTCGAAGAATTGTTAAAAATTCTGTTTCGGAAATGCCGCTCTGAATTTCAATATGAATTGATGTTGCCTGTAGATAAGGTGTAGCAAATGAAGGCATTGGATAATGCCTGATGCGATAATTGATCAGAACGCCAGTACCTCCATGAGCCTTACCATCGGGATGATTTGTCGCATAGAAGTTATAGCCATCGAGGTGAAAATAGTTTTTATTTGTTATGTGAGTCTCTGATATGAACATGGCGTCAATGTCGTGTGGAGCGAGGAACTGTAAGACCTCGCATTTGTGCTGCGAAATGCCATTTGCATTCCAGAAACATATATTTAGACAAGCCATTTAAACATATTTCTGTTTGATTAGGAGCTCCAGGAGGAGATTTTGGTTGCGCATAAGCTCCTGCATCGTTTGTTGTATTGCTACCATTGTGTTTGTTATAGTTACCAGCACTGACTCAATTCCACTAGGCAATTGGGATGGATTTGCAGGGGTATGTTGTGCAGAGATTTCTGGGATCTGATTTGATGCCTGATGCTGCATAATTCCCGCTGTGGTTGGTTGAAGTGTCGGCTTAGAGACTGAGGCGTACGACCCGTTGTTGTAAATTAACGCCTGACCAAAAGAAACTCATGGAGTCGTAGTTGATGGTATATATGGTAAGTTTTGTCGGACGACCGGGTTTCGACCTGCAGTTATTTGTTGGTTTAGCAATTTTTCAATTCTTTATAGACTGAAAAACCTCTATAGTTGGCAGTATGGTTTCCTCCACAGTTCCTACATTTTTTGGCAGATGGGTCCTCCTTATTTACGGGGCAGGCCTCAGTGAGATGAACATCACCACAGGCAACGCAGACTGCCCGTGGAGTGCAATAAGTTTTCGTGTGTCCATATTCCTAGCAATTTGTGCATTGGACGGGTCCATTTCGTTTGTGTGGTTCCTCAACGGTGATCCTACGGTGCAGTAGATATTGAAGCTTGTACATTGGGTGAACTTCATTTTTACTTATATGCATACTTTCAGGTGTCAGTTCTACTTGGAACATTGGCTGAGGAATTCTATATCTATTTATTATGTGCATAGCCATTTTGACTTCGAAGCCCTTATCGTTAAGTCCATCTATTATCTCATTGATTGGGACTGTTGGTTCGATTCCTTTGATAACCACTTGTAATCCTTTGCTTCTTTTAAGTTGGTAGGTGTAGTAATTCATTTTTTCATTTTCGAGGTATTTCGCAACTGATCGATAGTTTTCTTCGTCATTGACTTGTATTTTTGTTTCATTTATGTGACGTGACATAGAATGTGTTTGCGCCAATTGTATCAGTTATTTTTTTGACCAGTTCAGCACAAATTGCCTGACGAACAGGTGGCGGCCCTATTTTATTGGCCTTGGGTGTTTGGGCGATCTCATCTACATTTGGGGCACGAAGTATCACAAAACTATTGTTTGTGGCTTATGTGGCTCAGTGTTCTCAGTTATTTTAGTTATTTTAGCTGCATTTTTATTCTTCGCAGTCTGTGGGCCCAATTTTCTTTTGATTTGCACATAGCGATCGAGCCTAGTATGAATTAACGCACCGTTAGCGTTTTTCAAACTTATCGGTTGTGAGAGGTAAGGCTTGTCGCAGTGGGTCGACAGTACCGGGCGCTGAGCAATTGCAGTGGTTGTGGTCGTAGTTGTATCGACAGTACAAGTCGGGGGATGGGCACTGAGCAATCCATGAACCACTTTGAAATGCAGGGGAGAGAGAGCGTGCTCTCTCCTCGTTCATTTTCAGTGATGCAGTTTTTGTTGGTACTGCTACCTGTGGCGAACGTATAAAGAAGTACGCGTATTTTGCTTGCGAGAGCTCGTCTTGTTGCTGTTGCCAGGCTTGGCTCATTTTGGCTTTGGTTACAGTGCTTGTGCTCTTTACCGAGCTGGTGCTCTTATACGTTGACATTTGTTCTTTTCTATTATTTCTATTACTCTTTATTACACGATTGGATGGTATTCATGGGCAGCACGATCACTAGTACCCATGAATACCCCGAGCGCTTTTTCTTGAATTAATTTATGATTAATTGCGATTAATTGATTTTCGCGGCGGAGCGATACAAAAATACGCCTGAAGTCGTTGACGGTTTACGATTGATTCCGTCGGTTTAAAGGTGGAAAAATGTATCTTTTTATATCTCATATATTTAATATATTATAGTTATTTTGTTATTTGGAAGAAGCACATTTGGATTCGTCGGTGTTAACCTCGTCACTTCAGCGTGGTGTTGGCTGCTCTGATCGTGGAACACGAAATGGCTCTAGACATGGCTCGGTGCATGGGGCTAGGAGTCACGTCGGTACGCTGAAGGTACACCAATAAGTTGGCGAAGATCTGTGTGGCGTCGGCCATGAGTCCGAGAGGGCTACGGTCGATGTTTTGTGGGGTCATCGTCCTGGTTTCCGGGTCCTAACGGGGAGGCTCGGTGGATATTTGTTCGATTCTTGGCCCCGACCAGCGTGGGGTTCGCGTAGCTGTTTCCGTGTTGCTGGGTTGTCAGATTGTGGCTGTGGTTGGCCTAGGATGCGGTTTCTCTGTAGTGACCGTGGGACTGGCCTCGGTGCCCCCGGTGCTGGCCTCGGATACGCGTTCTCCGTTGTGGGCCGGTGCTTCGCGTTCGTTGCGATTTGTTTGGGTGTCAAGTGCTGTGTTGCGTTATTGTGTGCCGTGTTCGTTGTGGTAGGTCATGGACGTGCGTTCGTTGCGATTTGTTGGGGTTCCTTATTTCGGTTCTAGGCGTCTTGTACGTGGATGGTAGTAAGCACGGGTTTAGTGGGCATGGGGCGACGGTCTCGTAACTGTAGCAGCGTGGTGCCGCATTGGATCGTCGTTTCAGTGGCACATAGAAAGTCCATCCCGACAATAACTTGTCCCAGCATGTTAGGCAGGACCAGAAGCGGGATTTGAACCTCTCGTTGATCCAGCTTTCTGAGCGCCAGTAGAACTTGTGTGATCTCTCTGACCGAGCCATCGGAGAAATTGCGTAACGAGTAATGGTTTGCAATACCGAGAAAGTAGTTGCGTTGGAGAGTTTGCCCACACCACGGGCCAAGCGGAGTAATTTTCTATTGACGTAGAACCCTTGTTAAAATGGCACATCCAACCCAGGAAAATATTAATCCAACACATATGTTTAAGCCGCAAAGTAGGCACCGATGCAGCCCATAGGCTGCAAGCTCATGCTCCCGAAGCATGAAAGCTTTTGGAGCGGCCTCTTCAGTGCTCATTAGATTTAAGCTTAATCATACCAGAGTTAGTTGAAATCAGACCTTGGAATAAAGCAAAACGCGCACGCGCATCATTTTCCGCAAATTACCTACATCTTCTTCTTATTGTTTGGGCACCTAAATCCCACGAGCCACCAGAAGTGAAGGACGAGAAAAGCAGGCAAGGATCTCCCACTACAATCATTGGTCCTTCGAGCCGGATTCTCATCATTGGATTTTTTATTTTTCACCGAAAAATCACGGAGATTTTCCCCCCAATCCGCTCGCCCCAGCTTGCTCAAGAGGAATTGCCAGCTAAGTATATAAAAACCGTCCAATTTGCAACCAAAAAGGTTCTGTGCAGTGTATAGTGTGTGGAGAAACTCCATAGTGAGGAAGTGCAAGTGAAGACGAAAAAAACCGCTATTTGTTTCCCTTTTTTTTCTTTCCAAACGTACCTGGCATATGTACATAACGGCCTATTTCCATATATATAACCTCGCCATCTTTTTTTCCGCCAAAAAATCGGACAAGTGCAACGACCCATCAGGCGCACATATGTACGTACTTATATACATAGGCACACGCTGATCTCCGCTAATTCCATTCCGCTTAGAGAAGCACTGCATCGAACCTAGTGCATCGAACATGTTGGATCGCGACTAGGGTGGCGAACATACATATGCACATACATACGGTTTTTTTTCTTTGGCGCTCTCGTCTCTTGCACTGTACACACATATGCATAATCCGCACAAATTATTTTAAATAAGAACCAAACAAAAAAAAATTCATAAAATAAAATAACGTTTAAGTGCATGTACATAGTACCACCTTTTTTGTAGGTGTACTTTATGTTTTTGTTCCTTTTCCTCCGCCAAAACTAACTCCATTCACCCAATCACCTTATATTATTTAAGTGCATGCTACATCCATTTAATACTTCAGCAATTTTGAACCATCCGCAGCCTGCAATAAAATAAAATATACACAGCGCTTTTCCTCTATTAAAACAACGCATATCCACACAGTACGGGACCAGCCTCAAGCATTTACATACGTACATACATACATACCGCGAGCTTAGCTTACAGCAGCTGCTCCATTCCTCTTTGTGCTTATGGTGATACCCTGTACGACGCGGGTATATAGTTTTCATGAAAAGGTACGGCACTTGGGACATTTCCAAATATTTATTTATTTTTTTATTTTTTTTTTAATAAATTTTGTTGCCAATCGTGAACCTCTTTGAACGTTCCATTCCACTGTTCCGGAAGGAATAATAATACGAAATCAAAGAGGGCTTTGGGAAAAAAAGAACTAAACTAAAACTTTGTGCCAAGTACTTTTGGGTGACACTCCATAAATCTCTCACTCGAACGGTACATGTTCCAATCCATCGTTCCAGAATTTTTGGTACATATACAATATAAATACAAAATATAATTGTAACATAATAACCTCTCGTTTTTCCAAATTATTGCTCATACCATCTCCGTTTCGTTTCCACCGTTCCACTTTCATACGCGTCGCTGATAGCTTATTATGTCCAGTGAGCGCGACGCGAAGAAACGCCTCACAGTTCCAAGCACGCGACCATCGCCACATTCCAAGACTCCATCGTCCTCCGTTAGGAAAGATCCTTCGGGTTCATCGAAAGACGAATCCAAACTTACTCCAGTCAGCATTACTCGCGCCCTGGGACAAAGACTTGCGGAGGTCAAGAGAATGGCATTAGCGGACTTTATAGCGGCATCAGACCGACTCGGCAGTTTCGAGGCGAGGCTCGCTACTCCATCCTCTGTGGTGGTGTCCACGTTCACCCTTAAGATCCGCCTAGACGAAGTGAGGACCTTGTGGGAAAAGGTACGGCTAGAGTGCGAGCGTTGCACCAAGGCTCTCAGTGAAACTGAACCCGATGGTGATGCTATGCAATCCATGCAAGCCAAATATGAGCATTGCTACTCAGTATATGAGAGGTGCGCTACAAGCCTACAGGAGCAAATCGAGAGCGCTTCGGCTCCCCCCCCGTTATCCACCCCTAGCGCTCATCAAGGAGGCTATAGTCGTCTGCCCCCAAGTGAAATCGAGGTATTCCACGGCGATTATCTAAAGTGGCCCACTTTCCGCGATCTTTTTTCCGCAATCTACATAAGCAATCCAAGACTGACTCAAGTGGAGATGCTATATCACCTCTGCCACAAGACTCGGGGTGAAGCCAAAGTCATTGTTGAAAAAGCTCCGCTGACGAACGAGGGTTTCAATTCCGCATGGACCGCCCTGAAAGAACGTTTCGAGAACAAGAGAACTCTTGTCAACAGCCAACTAAGAATCCTATTTAGTTTCTCCCCTATCCAAAATGAATCCGGGGCCGCTTTAAAAGAGCTCCAAAGTGCCATCCAGGGATGCCTCACGGCCTTAGAACTCTCAGAGGTGCCCATTGATAATCGGTTCGCGGACGGCGTTCTGGTGTTTCTGGTTTCCTCAAAGTTGCCGAAAGTGACCTTGTCTCTTTGGGAACAGTCACTTCCGAGCAAGAGCGAGATACCGTCATGGAGCGACATGAACAAATTCCTGAGTGAGCGATATTTATCTCTCGAAGCAATGGAGAACGCGAATGCCTCCATGCAAGCGCTTTCCAGGCCCGAAAGAAGGGAAAAGAACGAAAAAAAGGTTAATTCTTTTGAGGCAAAAGTAAGCGCCGACCTCCGCCAAAGCTCCGTCAAGATTCGCACCTGCAGTCTTTGTTCCAAAGAAAACCACCCGGTGCGCCAATGTCCACGCTTTCTAAAAATGTCTGCTCATGATAGAGCCAACTACATAAAGCAACAAAAGTTGTGTATGAACTGCTTCGCTAGAGGGCACCAAATCAAAGATTGCACGAGTCAACATAATTGTTTTACGTGCAAACGTCGCCACCACACGCTTCTGCACCGTGGTAACCCACATCCAGAGCCCTCTGCAACAGTTCCTTCCATTCCAAACCCAATTCAAGACATACAGTCCGCTTCATCCTCCAATGTCCAAAGCTACTACACAGCGAACACACAGGGTGTTTTGCTAGGCACGGCTATGATAAACATATGCCACTTGGGCACCAGTTTTAAAGCACGTGCATTGATCGATTCTGGATCGGAAGCAACGTTCATCTCCGAACGTCTGTTCAGAATTATCAAGCTTCCTTTCCAACCAGTTCAGGTTCAAGTAACGGGCTTGAGCCAAGCAATTTCAGCCAGGCCTCAGAAGATATGCCACTTCCAAATAGGCTCACCATCAAAACCGAGGATCCACATAGAAACCTCGGCCTACGTACTCCCAAATGTGGCAGGCACCTTACCTTCGTACCCAGTTCCTCAAGGTTTTGTAAAGGACCTGCCAAACATTCCTCTTGCTGACCCTTCTTTTCTATAAGAGCTCGCAGATAGATGTGCTCTTAGGTGCAGATATCCTTCCATCAATTTTACTAGGCGGCTCCCAACCCAACATTTGCGGCTCGTTACTCGGTCAGGAGACCATATTTGGATGGATCCTCACAGGACCAGTAGCTGAGTCAACTCGCCCCTCAATTTCTTCCTTTGCTACAAGGGTAAAGGTCAGTACAGAACAGCGTTTAGAAAACCTTCTAACGAAGTTTTGGGAGGTGGAGGATCTTCCAGCCGTGAGGGCAGAAGAGTCTTCTGATTCCGTCTGTGAAGACAATTTCATTCAAACTACTCGAAGAGATTCAAGTGGCAGATATATGGTGTCATTACCCTTTCGAAATCCTGAGTGTGTCGACTTAGGCCATTCTAGATCAATCGCGCTGACTCAGTTCCTCAAAAATGAAGGCCGTTTACAACGGAACCCACCTTTAAAAGACCAGTACGACAGTGTCCTCCAGGAGTATGTAGACTTAGGTCACATGCGACGAGTACCTCCAAGCAATGACTCTGACAACTTCTATCTGCCCCATCATTCTGTCCTTAAACCAGACAGCACCACTACAAAGTTACGGGTAGTATTTAACGCCTCCAGTCCATCTTCAAATGGCAAGAGTCTTAACGACATCCTACATCCAGGACCGGTTCTCCAATCAGATCTGACCATTCAGATACTGAAATGGCGTTTCTTCCAATTCGTTTTTAATGCTGACATCACAAAGATGTATAGGCAAATCACCCTCGAGCCAACGCAGACAAGGTTCCAAAGAATCCTTTTCCGGAACAAAGAGGGCGAGCTCGGGGACTATGAACTTACAACTGTCACTTTCGGTGTGAAGGCAATGGCAGCTTTCTACACCTGTAGGAAGACTTTTGGACGAACATGGGGCTTACAGCCGCACATCATCCAATGGATGTATACAGCGGTAATAAGACCCATCCTGACATACGGAGGCATGGTATGGTGGGAAGCGGTTAACACCAAATCCCACCTGGAGAACCTCCGTAAAGTCCAACGGACAGCATGCCTTGGGGTCACCGGATCTCTCAAATCCACCCCACAGGCAGCTCTGGACACCATGTTAGGCCTGGAACCGATAGACCTTCATCTTAAGTGCACGGCTGAGACAAGTGCCGCTAGGCTATTAGCCGCGCAGTTCTTCAAGCCATCGCCTTATGGCCACGCCACTATACTCCGTATGGAAGATAGTGGAACGGCCAGGTGGAGTGACTACTGTGTCTCAGAGTTCTCATGGAAAAGAAACTTTAAAGGACACATACCGGATAGGGAGAAATGGAAGAGTAACACTGTCCTGGGGCAGAACGAGCTCTCCATATTCACCGACGGGTCAAAGACGGCCGAAGGGACAGGAGCTGGAATCTTCTCCGAAGAACTAGCAACCAACATATCCCTAAGACTACCAGACTGGTGCAGTGTATTCCAGGCGGAGATATATGCAGTATGGCAAGCGGCAAAGTTGGTATATACCTTGGAGATACCTCCGAGGAACATAGCAATCTGCGTTGACAGTCAAGCTGCCATCAAAGCCCTGGTATCCTGCAAGACCACAAGCAGACTCGTACGTGATACGGTGGACGCACTAAACCAGATCAGCGCGCACTCAATCACACTCACGTGGGTTCCGGGTCACACCGACATAGCGGGCAACGAGAGTGCGGACGAGTGTGCCAGAACTGGATCGGCCAAGCCAATGGCGGACGCAGTCAGCGACATAAGGAGACCACTACGAGACATCATCTCGCAGATGATGGGCCGAGCCAGAACGAGATCGGACAGGAGGTGGAACACCACACCAAACTGTGAGATCTCTCGCTCGCTCTGGCCCCACTACGACCTTAAACGCACCAAGACTCTCCTAAGCTTCAGGAAGAGTCGGGTGCGAACACTGACGGGAGTTACAACGGGGCACTGTGTCATCGGCCGCATGGCCACAAGGTACAGACTGCCCCACCATGACTTCTGCCGCAGCTGCAGGGACGAGGAGGAAATAGAGAGCATCCAGCACCTTCTCTGCAACTGTCCTGCACTCATGGGGAGGCGTCACCGAATACTCGGTGGCGCCTTCTACGAAGATCTGGACAGCCTGGCAAACATGCCTCTAGAGAAACTGGTGCTCTTTATAGAGGCCTCGGGATGGTTCGCGAAACCTCCCTAGGCACCGGACAATATCCCGTGACGAGTGTGGGCATCACAATGGGCAGACTTGCCTCCGAGTGACCTCGACTTCAGTCGAGCAGCCCTATAAACCTAACCTAACCTAACCTACCCCTGCAAATCCATCCCAATTGACTAGTGGAATTGAGTCAGTGCTGGTAACTATAACAAACACAGTGGTAGCAATACAACAAACGATGCAGGAGCTTATGCGCAACCAAAATCTCCTCCTGGAGCTCCTAATCAAACAGAAATCTGTTTAAATGGCTTGTCTAAATATATGTTTCTGGAATGCAAATGGCATTTCGCAGCACAAATGCGAGGTCTTACAGTTCCTCGCTCCACACGACATTGACGCCATGTTCATATCAGAGACTCACATAACAAATAAAAACTATTTTCACCTCGATGGCTATAACTTCTATGCGACAAATCATCCCGATGGTAAGGCTCATGGAGGTACTGGCGTTCTGATCAATCATTGCATCAGGCATTATCCACCTTATCTACAGGCAACATCAATTCATATTGAAATTCAGAGCGGCTACCTAAACCTAGCTGCAGTATACTGCCCACCTCGCTTCTGCATTTCCGAAACAGAATTTTTAACAATTCTTCGACCTACTAGGTGACCGATTTATAGCAGCTGGTGACTACAATGCCAAGCACACCCATTGGGGATCTAGACTTACCAACCCGAAAGGAAGACAACTATATAACGCTATAATAACCCCACGAAACAAGCTAGACTTTATCTCTCCGGGCAAGCCTACATATTGGCCCACAGATCCACCCAAGCAACCCGACTTGATCGATTTTGCAGTTACACGAAGGGTGCTGCAAGTTCAGATTCATGTAGATCACTTAACAAATCTATCATCGGATCACTCGCCCATTCTACTTCACCTTTACGACCATTGGCCATTGACCATTGATAGGTCAGTCGAAGCATTAGTATCCTGAATGTCACTCAACACCAATATTAGCACCTAATAAACTAGGCACATTAAAGTGCTGCTACGCGATAAAAGAAGGCCGAGAGTGGGAAGCACACAAATCACCTGCCTCGAAAGAGCGGCTAAAAATAGCCAACAACCTACTACGCAGATCCCTAGAAGATGAAAAAAATTGAGCTCAAATATCCTATATGGAGCAACTCTTCCCAACTAGCAAACGATTCCCTCTGTGGAAAGCTAAATCAGGCGTTTGCCCACCAATCGAGAGTGAATCACCTTTGCGTACACAAACAGGAGTGTGGGCACGCAGCAACAAAGAGAAAGCAAATACATTTTCCGTCCATCTATAAAACGTCTTCAAACCACACCCAGCAACAAATAGCTTTGTGCTCGCACCAACCAACAATCCCGAAGCTACTCCGCCTATAATATTCCAATCAGGAGAAGTCAATCAGGGTCATTAAAGACCAAATCTCAAAGCAAAAGAAAGCTCCGGGCCACGATTTCATCTCCCCTAAAATAACACTAGTCAACACTAGTATTAGGCTGTGGCCCAAAATATAGATTCTTATAGATTTCGGGGCTTAACATTTTTTAACGAATTATGGTTTTTTTTTTATGGTGTAGTTTTTTTTTTAACAATTTGTTAAAATCTGGTATTTTTTTTTTTCAGAGGTAGTACTTTTATTTTTCACATAACTTAAGTATCTTATATCTGGTTGCAAAGAACTTTGCAGTTATTGCAGTTCTGAAAAGCTGACAAACGCAACTATAAATCGTACCCAGACACTTTGTTTCTGCAGCTTAACGCCTGGAAGATATTAAGCTTTCAAATTCAAATTTCATAATTTTTTTGCGGTATTTTTTTCTTCGAAATTTTGACTTTGAGAACTCGGGAAAAGTCGAAAGATAAATAAATCTTGGCCAACGATTTTAGTTTTTGATAGACGCATTAATTAGGCGTCGTTTAAGGTATTGTTCATTAAATTCTATGGATAAACGGTGGAGCTAAAATTCGTTAACCAAACCTCAAAAGTGAAAAAATAGACAAAAAATACTTTTTACCAAAAATTCAACACCCATTCGTTTGCTCTGTTTCCAATTGGCAGTTGGGCCCGCAACCTTCCAAAAAGTATTTTTTGTCTATTTTTTCACTTATGAGGTTTGGTTAACGAATTTTAGCTCCATTTCAGCGTCTATCTAAAACCAAAAATGTTGGCCAAGACTTATTTTTTTTTCGACTTTTCCCGAGTTTTTATACCCGTACTCAAAAAAGAGTTAAGGGGTATATTAGATTTGTGGTAAAAGTGGATGTGTGTAACGCAGAGAAGGAAAATTTTCCGACCCCATAAAGTATATATATTCTTGATCAGCATCAATAGCCGAGTCGACATAGTCATGTCTGTCTGTCCGTCTTGATGAGCGCCTAGATCTCATAGACCATAAGAGCTAGAGCAATCAAATTTTGTTTCCAGACTCATGTGATATCACACTGCTACGCCCCGCCCCCTTCCGACGGCAAAAACGAAAATCTGTGGCAGGCACATTTTTAAAGATACGATAAAACTAAAAAGGCAGTATCGTAGAGAATGACCATAACGATAAGCGCCAATCTAGGCTCCTCCTCGTCAAGAAAGACGGTCACACGAGGTACTCCGCAAGGGGGAGTTATATCCCCTCTACTGTGGAACCTGGTCCGCAACGACCTCCTTCTTCAGCTGGGGAGGAGCGGATATAAGGTTACGGCCTATGCAGACGATCTAGTAATACTGGTAACGGGTAAATTTCTGCCCACAATCAGTGACCTTCTGGAATCTGCACTGGGCACTACCGCCAGCTGGGCACACCAGAACGGTTTGGGGGTCAATCCTCAAAAAACAGAACTGGTGCTGTTCTCACGAAGATATAAGATACCGAGTTTCAAACTACCAGCAATCGGTGGAACGACACTCGAGCTATCGAGCGAAGCCAAGCATCTTGGTGTCATCCTTGACTCCAAACTCTCCTGGAAGAGAAACACGGAGGAAAGGAAGAAAAAGGCAATGGCAGCTTTCTACACCTGTAGGAAGACTTTTGGACGAACATGGGGCTTACAGCCGCACATCATCCAATGGATGTATACAGCGGTAATAAGACCCATCCTGACATACGGAGGCATGGTATGGTGGGAAGCGGTTAACACCAAATCCCACCTGGAGAACCTCCGTAAAGTCCAACGGACAGCATGCCTTGGGGTCACCGGATCTCTCAAATCCACCCCACAGGCAGCTCTGGACACCATGTTAGGCCTGGAACCGATAGACCTTCATCTTAAGTGCACGGCTGAGACAAGTGCCGCTAGGCTATTAGCCGCGCAGTTCTTCAAGCCATCGCCTTATGGCCACGCCACTATACTCCGTATGGAAGATAGTGGAACGGCCAGGTGGAGTGACTACTGTGTCTCAGAGTTCTCATGGAAAAGAAACTTTAAAGGACACATACCGGATAGGGAGAAATGGAAGAGTAACACTGTCCTGGGGCAGAACGAGCTCTCCATATTCACCGACGGGTCAAAGACGGCCGAAGGGACAGGAGCTGGAATCTTCTCCGAAGAACTAGCAACCAACATATCCCTAAGACTACCAGACTGGTGCAGTGTATTCCAGGCGGAGATATATGCAGTATGGCAAGCGGCAAAGTTGGTATATACCTTGGAGATACCTCCGAGGAACATAGCAATCTGCGTTGACAGTCAAGCTGCCATCAAAGCCCTGGTATCCTGCAAGACCACAAGCAGACTCGTACGTGATACGGTGGACGCACTAAACCAGATCAGCGCGCACTCAATCACACTCACGTGGGTTCCGGGTCACACCGACATAGCGGGCAACGAGAGTGCGGACGAGTGTGCCAGAACTGGATCGGCCAAGCCAATGGCGGACGCAGTCAGCGACATAAGGAGACCACTACGAGACATCATCTCGCAGATGATGGGCCGAGCCAGAACGAGATCGGACAGGAGGTGGAACACCACACCAAACTGTGAGATCTCTCGCTCGCTCTGGCCCCACTACGACTTTAAACGCACCAAGACTCTCCTAAGCTTCAGGAAGAGTCGGGTGCGAACACTGACGGGAGTTACAACGGGGCACTGTGTCATCGGCCGCATGGCCACAAGGTACAGACTGCCCGACCATGACTTCTGCCGCAGCTGCAGGTACGAGGAGGAAATAGAGAGCATCCAGCACCTTCTCTGCAACTGTCCTGCACTCATGGGGAGGCGTCACCGAATACTCGGTGGCGCCTTCTACGAAGATCTGGACAGCCTGGCAAACATGCCTCTAGAGAAACTGGTGCTCTTTATAGAGGCCTCGGGATGGTTCGCGAAACCTCCCTAGGCACCGGACAATATCCCGTGACGAGTGTGGGCATCACAATGGGCAGACTTGCCTCCGAGTGACCTCGACTTCAGTCGAGCAGCCCTATAAACCTAACCTAACCTAACCTACCCCTGCAAATCCATCCCAATTGCCTAGTGGAATTGAGTCAGTGCTGGTAACTATAACAAACACAGTGGTAGCAATACAACAAACGATGCAGGAGCTTATGCGCAACCAAAATCTCCTCCTGGAGCTCCTAATCAAACAGAAATCTGTTTAAATGGCTTGTCTAAATATATGTTTCTGGAATGCAAATGGCATTTCGCAGCACAAATGCGAGGTCTTACAGTTCCTCGCTCCACACGACATTGACGCCATGTTCATATCAGAGACTCACATAACAAATAAAAACTATTTTCACCTCGATGGCTATAACTTCTATGCGACAAATCATCCCGATGGTAAGGCTCATGGAGGTACTGGCGTTCTGATCAATCATTGCATCAGGCATTATCCAATGCCTTCATTTGCTACACCTTATCTACAGGCAACATCAATTCATATTGAAATTCAGAGCGGCTACCTAAACCTAGCTGCAGTATACTGCCCACCTCGCTTCTGCATTTCCGAAACAGAATTTTTAACAATTCTTCGACCTACTAGGTGACCGATTTATAGCAGCTGGTGACTACAATGCCAAGCACACCCATTGGGGATCTAGACTTACCAACCCGAAAGGAAGACAACTATATAACGCTATAATAACCCCACGAAACAAGCTAGACTTTATCTCTCCGGGCAAGCCTACATATTGGCCCACAGATCCACCCAAGCAACCCGACTTGATCGATTTTGCAGTTACACGAAGGGTGCTGCAAGTTCAGATTCATGTAGATCACTTAACAAATCTATCATCGGATCACTCGCCCATTCTACTTCACCTTTACGACCATTGGCCATTGACCATTGATAGGTCAGTCGAAGCATTAGTATCCTGAATGTCACTCAACACCAATATTAGCACCTAATAAACTAGGCACATTAAAGTGCTGCTACGCGATAAAAGAAGGCCGAGAGTGGGAAGCACACAAATCACCTGCCTCGAAAGAGCGGCTAAAAATAGCCAACAACCTACTACGCAGATCCCTAGAAGATGAAAAAAATTGAGCTCAAATATCCTATATGGAGCAACTCTTCCCAACTAGCAAACGATTCCCTCTGTGGAAAGCTAAATCAGGCGTTTGCCCACCAATCGAGAGTGAATCACCTTTGCGTACACAAACAGGAGTGTGGGCACGCAGCAACAAAGAGAAAGCAAATACATTTTCCGTCCATCTATAAAACGTCTTCAAACCACACCCAGCAACAAATAGCTTTGTGCTCGCACCAACCAACAATCCCGAAGCTACTCCGCCTATAATATTCCAATCAGGAGAAGTCAATCAGGGTCATTAAAGACCAAATCTCAAAGCAAAAGAAAGCTCCGGGCCACGATTTCATCTCCCCTAAAATAACACTAGTCAACACTAGTATTAGGCTGTGGCCCAAAATATAGATTCTTATAGATTTCGGGGCTTAACATTTTTTAACGAATTATGGTTTTTTTTTTATGGTGTAGTTTTTTTTTTAACAATTTGTTAAAATCTGGTATTTTTTTTTTTTCAGAGGTAGTACTTTTATTTTTCACATAACTTAAGTATCTTATATCTGGTTGCAAAGAACTTTGCAGTTATTGCAGTTCTGAAAAGCTGACAAACGCAACTATAAATCGTACCCAGACACTTTGTTTCTGCAGCTTAACGCCTGGAAGATATTAAGCTTTCAAATTCAAATTTCATAATTTTTTTGCGGTATTTTTTTCTTCGAAATTTTGACTTTGAGAACTCGGGAAAAGTCGAAAGATAAATAAATCTTGGCCAACGATTTTAGTTTTTGATAGACGCATTAATTAGGCGTCGTTTAAGGTATTGTTCATTAAATTCTATGGATAAACGGTGGAGCTAAAATTCGTTAACCAAACCTCAAAAGTGAAAAAATAGACAAAAAATACTTTTTACCAAAAATTCAACACCCATTCGTTTGCTCTGTTTCCAATTGGCAGTTGGGCCCGCAACCTTCCAAAAAGTATTTTTTGTCTATTTTTTCACCTATGAGGTTTGGTTAACGAATTTTAGCTCCATTTCAGCGTCTATCTAAAACCAAAAATGTTGGCCAAGACTTTTTTTTTTTTCGACTTTTCCCGAGTTTTTATACCCGTACTCAAAAAAGAGTTAAGGGGTATATTAGATTTGTGGTAAAAAAGGATGTGTGTAACGCAGAGAAGGAAAATTTTCCGACCCCATAAAGTATATATATTCTTGATCAGCATCAATAGCCGAGTCGACATAGTCATGTCTGTCTGTCCGTCTTGATGAGCGCCTAGATCTCATAGACCATAAGAGCTAGAGCAATCAAATTTTGTTTCCAGACTCATGTGATATCACACTGCTACAAGTGCATTTCAAAATTTCGCCCCGCCCCCTTCCGACGGCAAAAAGGACGAAAATCTGTGGCAGGCACATTTTTAAAGATACGATAAAACTAAAAAGGCAGTATCGTAGAGAATGACCATAACGATAAGCGCCAATCTAGGCTCCTCCTCGTCAAGAAAGACGGTCACACGAGGTACTCCGCAAGGGGGAGTTATATCCCCTCTACTGTGGAACCTGGTCGACGACCCCCTCAGCTGGGGAGGAGCGGATATAAGGTTACGGCCTAAGACGATCTAGTAATCTGGTAACGGGTAAATTTCTGCCCACAACAGTGACCTTCTGGAATCTGCACTGGGCACTACCGCCAGCTGGGCACACCGAACGGTTTGGGGGTCAACCCAAAAACAGAACTGGTGCTGTCTCACGAAGATAAGATACCGAGTTCAAACTACCAGCAATCGGTGGAACGACACCGAGCTATCGAGCGAAGCCAAGCACTTGGTGTCATCCTTGACTCCAAACTCTCCTGGAAGGAACACGGAGGAGGAGAAAGGCATGAGCTTCTACACCTGAGAGCTTTTGGACGAACATGGGGTTACAGCCGCACATCACCAATGGATGTATACAGCGGTAATAAGACCCACCTGACATACGGAGGCATGGTATGGTGGGAGCGGTAACACCAAATCCCACCTGGAGACCCCGTAAGTCCAACGGACAGCATGCCTTGGGGTCACCGGACCTCAAACCACCCCACAGGCAGCTCTGGACACCATGTTAGGCCTGGAACCGATAGACCTCACTTAAGTGCACGGCTGGACAAGTGCCGCTAGGCTATTAGCCGCGCAGTTCTTCAAGCCACGCTAGGCCACGCCACTAACCGTATGGAGATAGTGGAACGGCCAGGTGGAGGACTACTGTGCTCAGAGTCTCATGGAAGAAACTTTAAGGACACATACCGGATAGGGAGAATGGAAGAGTAACACTGTCCTGGGCAGAACGAGCTCTCCATATTCACCGACGGGTCAAAGACGGCCGAGGGCAGGAGCTGGAATCTTCTCCGAGACTAGCAACCAACATATCCCTAGACTACCAGACTGGTGCAGTGTATCCAGGCGGAGATAGTATGGCAAGGGGCAAAGTTGGTATACCTTGGAGATCGAGGAACATAGCAACTGCGTTGCAGTCAAGCTGCCATCAAAGCCCTGGTATCCTGCAAGACCACAGCAGACTCGTACGTGATCGGTGGACGCACTAAACCAGACAGCGCGCACCAATCACACTCACGTGGGTTCCGGGTCACGACATAGCGGGCACGAGAGTGCGGACGAGTGTGCCAGAACTGGATCGGCCAGCCAGGCGGACGCAGTCAGCGACATAAGGAGACCACTACTAGACATCACTCGCAGATGATGGGCCAGCCAGAACGAGATCGGACAGGAGGTGGAACACCACACCAAACTGTAGACTCGCTCGCTCTGGCCCCACTACGACCTTAAACGCACCAGACTCTCCTAAGCTTCAGGAAGAGTCGGGTGCGAACACTGACGGGGTTACAACGGGGCACTGTGTCACGGCCGCATGGCCACAAGGTCAGACTGCCCCACCATGACTTCTGCCGCAGCTGGGGACGGGGGAAGAGGCATCCAGCACCTCCGACGTCCTGCACTCATGGGAGGCGTCACCGAACGGTGGCGCCTCTCGAGCTGGACAGCCTGGCAACATGCCCGGACTGGTGCCTATAGGCCTCGGGATGGCCCCGGCACCGGACAATATCCCGTGACGAGTGTGGGCATCACAATGGGCAGACTTGCCTCCGAGTGACCTCGACTTCAGTCGGCAGCCCATAAACCTAACCTAACCTAACCTACCCCCAAATCCATCCCAATTGCCTAGTGGAATTGAGTCAGTGCTGGTAACTATAACAAACACAGTGGTAGCAATACAACAAACGAGCAGGAGTTATGCGCAACCAAAACCCCTGGAGCTAATCAAACAGAAACTGTTTAAATGGCTTGTCTAAATATAGTTTCTGGAATGCAAATGGCATTCGCACACAAATGCGAGGTCTTACAGTTCCTCGCTCCACACGACATTGACGCCATGTTCATATCAGAGACTCACATAACAAATAAAAACTATTTTCACCTCGATGGCTATAACTCTATGCGACAAATCATCCCGATGGTAAGGCTCATGGAGGTACTGGCGTTCTGATCAATCATTGCATCAGGCATTATCCAATGCCTTCATTTGCTACACCTTATCTACAGGCAACATCAATTCATATTGAAATTCAGAGCGGCTACCTAAACCTAGCTGCAGTATACTGCCCACCTCGCTTCTGCATCCGAAACAGAATTTTTAACAATTCTCGACCTACTAGGTGACCGATTTATAGCAGCTGGTGACTACAATGCCAAGCACACCCATTGGGGATCTAGACTACCAACCCAAAGGACAACTATATACGCTATAATAACCCCACGAAACAAGCTAGACTTTACTCCGGCAAGCCTACATATTGGCCCACAGATCCACCCAAGCAACCCGACTTGACGATTTTGCAGTTACACGAAGGGTGCTGCAAGTTCAGATCATGTAGATCACTTAACAAATCTATCATCGGATCACTCGCCCATTCTACTTCACCTTTACGACCATTGGCCATTGACCATTGATAGGTCAGTCGAAGCATTAGTATCCTGAATGTCACTCAACACCAATATTAGCACCTAATTAGGCACATTAAAGTGCTGTACGCGATAAAAGAAGGCCGAGAGTGGGAAGCACACAAACACCTGCCTGGAGCGGCTAAAATAGCCAACAACCTACTACCAGACCCTAGGATGAAATGGCTCAAATATCCTATATGGAGCAACTCTTCCAACTAGCAAACGATTCCCCTGTGGAAGCTAAATAGGCGTTTGCCCACCAATGAGAGTGACACCTTTGTACACAAACAGGAGTGTGGGCACGAGCAACAAAGAAAAGCAAATACATTTTCCGTCCACTATAAAACGTCTTCAAACCACACCCAGCAACAAATAGCTTTGTGCTCGCACCAACCAACAATCCCGAAGCTACTCCGCCTATAATTTCCAATCGGAGAAGCAATCAGGGTCATTAAAGACCAAACTCAAGCAAAGAAGCCCGGGCCACGATTTCATCTCCCTAAAATAACACTAGTCAACACTAGTATTAGGCTGTGGCCCAAATATAATCTTATAGATTGGGGCTTAACATTTTTAACGAATTATGGTTTTTTTTTTATGGTGTAGTTTTTTTTTTAACAATTTGTTAAAATCTGGTATTTTTTTTTTTCAGAGGTAGTACTTTTATTTTTCACATAACTTAAGTATTTATATTGGTTGCAAGAACTTTCAGTTAAGTTCTGAAAGCGACAACAACTATAAAGTACCCAACACTTTGTTTCTAGCTAAACGCCTGGAAGATATTACTTCAAATTCAAATTTCATAATTTTTTTCGATTTTTTCTTCGAAATTTTACTTTGGAGCGAAGATAAATATCTTGGCCAACGTTTAGTTTTGTAGACGCATTAATTGGCGTCGTTTAGGTATTGTTCATTAAATCTATGGATAAACGGTGGAGCTAAAATTCTAAAAAATCATAAGCTCAAAAATGTATATACTGACTGAGTACGGGTATAAGTAGAGTCGCGTCCCCAGAAGCGACTCACACGTTCCTTCTCGTTACAATTAAAATTTCGAGAAAAAAATAACGCAAAAATTAATGAAATTTGAATTTGAAAGCTTAATATCTTTCAAGCGTTAAGCTGCAGATACAAAAGGTCTGGGTCGGATTTATAGCTGCATTGGTGAGCTTTTCAGAACTGCAAAGGTCTATGCAACCAGATATAAGATACTTAAGTTATGTGAAAAATAGAAGCACAACCTCTGAAAAAAACCATGAAAAAAAATACAAATCTTTAAAAATTCTTTAAGCCTAGTACTCAGATCCAAAAACCAGAGGTGTGCACTGCATTCCGAACGGTTACACTGCTCTGACCGCTGCTTGGTTTTGTAGAAAGTAAATAAAATGCACTTCTTCTGCTGGGGCCGCTCTTCCCCAGGCATATCCTGGACCATGATGCAATTATATAAGGTGGTCTCGTCGGCTGCCGAATCGTTCGGGTTTTAGTCCCTTAAAGTTCAGTGCGTGCTCGCTTGTTGAAGAGAAAGGTTGTGTGCGGACAAATTTTTTCGGAAGCCTTAACCCTCGTGCACAACAAAAATTACGTATTGCAGTTTTTTCCGTAAGCACGTGCAAAGAACAGTTTATCATAACAAAAAATGTTAAACAGAAATTGTTAATGGCTTCCGAAACAGTTAAAATTAATTTAGATGTAAAAACGTTGTATTTTCAGATTCGAATTTATTTTAGAATTAAGAGCCTTAACATATGAATATCTATCCAAAAACAAAAACAACATTTAATTTCAAATTCAAAATTATTAAAAATTAAATTATATAAAAAAAATCAGCTCGTTTGATTTACAACTCGTTAATCAACATTGTTGTTGTTATTGTTGTTTCACTCACACTTATTGCGCTGAGCCTTTCACTCGCACTTATTGTAAAATTGTAAAGGGACTACTTTTGCCGACGAGACCACCTTATATAATTGCATCATGTCCTGGACTCCCCAATATTTTATTGGCAAGGTAATGTGTCTGACTATCAGCAGCAGAAGATGGCGACGCCTCCCGTGCCGGACACCGTGAATAAAAAATGTTTTGAAAACAATATTTGTTTTATATTTATGAAAACTAATAAAAATAATAAATTATAATATCCATATAATTGTCATTCATATAACAATGCATTAATTAGATTATATTTGTCTATTAAAATATTTCATTTGGTTTTTTGTTCTCTTATTGCAATGTTTGCTTCGTGTTTGCTGGAAAAATATATCAAATTAATATAATTTTCTAGGTGGGTCGAAACATACCAGCAATGCAAGCAAATACTTCGTATACTTTTCTAGTATATACCAACCTTTTTGTTTGTTGATCTGAGTACTGCCTTCCGTACAGAGCCTAGAAAACATTTTTTGCCGTAAAAAATTTCTTATCGGTTTCATACGAATATCAACCCTGATTCTGTTCGCGAGGTGTTTATTTCGATCTGAGTACTAAGCTTTAAAAAAAAATTACACCATAAAAAAATAATAAAGTACTACAAAAATTTGTAAATCCCGAAATTTATCAGAAAAAGTCATTTTGGTTCACAGCCTTAATAAAAAGTTCAATTTTGTCGAGTAGTGTAATCATAGAATTGCCGAGCTATGCAGTATATTTCCTTACTGTGGTATTCAACAGCTGTTTAGGCAACGCAAAGTTTCTACCGGGGAACTATTTTATATTATAGCAGCGCAGATGTCGTTGCGCCTATGTTTTGGGAGTATGCCTTATGCATCTCTTTCGTAGTTGTTTTGAGAGCTACAGCGATCGGCAAACGTCTACGGTCTGCTCGTAACGCTCTTATACGGCGCTCTCGTACGCTATTGTCGCGTCGCAAGGTGCAGTTAGGACTAGCATATAAGTACTACATAAGTTCAAGAACCACATCGACGGCAATGAACAGCAAGCCGATGATACAGTCTGTAAGCGACAGCCCAGGAAAGCAGAACGCACCCTCTGTGCCAAAAATTGTATTTTTTAACTTAACCTCTAATAAATCATTACGCAGTCATTAAATCCGCGTGTAAAACCTTTCTCTGGGACCACCGGATCCGCCCCCCTAAGGAACGTCCACTGCCGCCACAGGTGTAATACCACTTTGTGTGCCGCATCATTATCTCAGCAGATTGGGGCTCCATCAAGGCGCAGCCGTAAACAACACATTTTGGTGCCGAAACCCGGGACTGCTTTGCTTGGGATTGGCTGGAAACAAACCGTTGGTCTTCGTTGGACACCTTTAAACAGTGGAAGGTTCATTGGTTCAGTGGAGTTGTTGTGTGATAGAGAGTTGAGTCATGGCCGAAGGTGTAGTGGAATTAATTTGCGAGCAAACTGCGTTGGTAGACTCGGTGAAGCGTATGTTGGAAAAGTTCAAAAATGATGAGACCAATAAATCTGAAGCGCATATGGAGGCTAGATTGGAAGCTATGACCACGGTACATGCGGAATTTCGCGCGAATCATCGTAAGCTGATACGGTCGGAGGATGATTTGGTGAAGCCGGGTTATTTGGAGGTGGATCTTGAAGGGCAGTTTGAAGAAGCGTATATCGATTGTGTCGCGCAAATTCGAACGGAATTAAACATCTCGAGAGGTCGGATTCTTGCATCAACGCTCATCTCATCCGGTGAAGTGCAGCGAAATGGGTCCACCGAACCTACTGGTGTTAGCGGGTCAGCCGGTGTTGAAGAGGTTAAACTTCCTAGAGTGAAACTACCCATGTTCAGTGGAGAATTTGTGGATTGGCCGGCATTTAAGGAAATGTTTGAAGCTCGGGTCCATAATTGTCCTAGACTCACGGATTTGCATCGATTTCACTACCTCAAAGATTCTCTTTCAGATGAAGCGAAAAGGGATATACAACACCTTACTCTGATAGAATCTAATTACAGTGTAGCTTGGCAAATGTTGTTGAAATTGTATGATAATAAGCGAGTGTTGTTTCAGCATTATATGCAGGTTCTCGAGCAACAGCCCATGGTCCGTAACGACGACCCTGTGTCGCTAAAAGGGTTTTTGCAAACTTGTCGTTCATGCATTAAATCGCTGGAGAAGGTGGGGGTGGATCTCACCCATCA